GTGACCGTTGGTGGAAATAATGTGATATTGCAATAAGCCGGGCACTTCGATCGGTTCCTCGTAATCAATCGTGTAATTGGCTGTGGAGGCACGTGTGGTTGACTGATCCATTGCGGCTACTCGAGCGGCAGCACGCTTGATTTGTTCTTCTTTTTCTGTGCAACAGCATGTACACTGTAATTCCACCCACTGATACACTCCAACAGTGAGCACCGGAGCCTGAGCATGATGGGGACTACGTGGAGGTGCTTTGTGTTGTCCTTCTGGTTTATCCGGCAATTCCAGTTTGAACTCCACACGGCACTCGGTAATTTCACCTACAGTTGCCTGTATGGGCTCTGTCTCTTCACAAAACACATAACATAGTAAACCGGATATGAATGTCAGAAAATATAGGATCCTGGGCTTTCGCATTCTGTCCTGGGAACGGAAACTACCGATTTATGTTTTTGTACGACCCGCAGCTCTTCTTCGGTAACGAGTTGCCATCACACCAATAATGGGGTTCTTTTCGAGTTTGAAACCAATACAACGGTATTGGGTTAATTCCGTTCTACCGCTCAGAAAAGCACATGCGCCAGCACACATCTACATTGGATTCTTGTATTTATCTGGGTTAAACCAAAATTTTCCGCGACTTCCGTTAGACTGTCCAAGCTGTCATCTTATTGGTTAAGCCCCAACCTAGCCGGATCGATTTTGGGGGGAAGAAGTTTGCTTATAGGCCGACCGGATGGTATGTTGAACGGGAGCGCAACTAAGGCCCGAACGATGTTAGACACACGCAAACCAGACATGCATATGCACGCATAAGCGTCGACAGCAGTGATAAACGCATCCTCGTTTGTGTGTATGCGGGTTAGTTGGAAATCCACACGGACGAACCATCCCAATTTTGGCCCTGGATTTTAACTACAGCTTTCTTTCTCTCTGTCTCATATCGGGGATGGATTTTGTCACAAACCCATCTGTTTGCCCAACCCGTGTTTGGTCTGGCCCGGTCGGTTAGTCTTTGTGTGAACGTAGTAAAAACGGAGCTGCTAGGATAAGGATGGACGGGCGAGGCTGCTGTGATTATCTTGTGGACTTGGGGAACTGCAATTCCTCGATTCGTTAATCAATCCCAATTTCGGACT